GAGCCAGGTCTGCTTGGAGGATTGATGGAAGTCCGACCCAGGCAGTTGGAGCCTTGGACGCCGCATGTTAAAACCCTCTAGGCCCCGTGCCGAAATTGGGTAGCAGTTCTGAGGTCCTTGTTGGTGTTGCTTCCCAAGTTCCATTGATTGCCATTTGGCTCAAGACACAATTGAGGTTCAAGATCTGATGTGTGACTGCGGATATCCGTGATTGGCATTAGGAGGAAAACAACTGCTCGCGCCGCACTGTCAGGACTACTGTTGTGACTATCATTCCTTCTTCCTTACAACGTTTACACGGGTTCGGCTATAACGGCATCGTCCGTATACACCTTTCTACGTGGTTGGTATTAAAGCTTGAGGGTTCGGTGCACAGCGTCCCACGGGACGTCACCTTGCCGTCTCTTGACAGGTTATCAGCCGTAACTACAAGCTCTACACTGGACTGGGAGACAGCTGGTTTATTGCGGGTACAGGGACAATAAAGGAACGATAACCTACACAGTACAATGGCGTCTTCGGCGAGCCCAAGTACTGCAACTTTTGGGAACAGCAGCTCAGAGGGATCCAATGGATTGATGGCTCTTCCTGCGGTGATGGATATGGTTGCGGATTCACAGGATGAACCTGGGAGCGGAGGTTCCGCGCTATTCAGCGACATATCTACTCCCACAAGATCATGGAAGCAGATCGATGTTCATCAGGAGTCGAAGAAAAGAGAATCCCCACCGAGAAGATCATCATCTTCGCCTGCGACACCACGGACGTCGCAGAAGGGCGTGAGATCGACATCGAAGGGTGGGAGGTCAAAATCACCCACCAGTGCAGATTTTCGCGCCGTGATCAAAGAGAAGAATAAGATGGAGGTGGAGATCGGGGAATATCAGAAGACACTTGATGAAATGTCGGCAGCAATGGCGAATCTTAACCAAGAAGACTATGGAAGCACCATCCGGATCCAGGAGCTGGAAAGACGATGCGAGATTGCCAGCAAGCAGTCGGGACATCTAGTGAGTCACCACCAACACCACATGGCTGAGGCATGGCGCAAGTTTGAGGAAGAAGCCCAACAGATGCGCAAGGTGGAAATGAACGCATTTCAGTACGGGGAGAAGAAAGACATGGAGTCGAATATTATGATGCAACAGATGAGGCAAGCTGAAGGAACTATCATGGAGCAGAAGCGGGAGATTGCATTGATGAGATCCTACATGGCAAGCGAGAAGTCGGCCGCGCAGGAATCAGCTATACGTGCAAATCAGATACACCGTGAGGCTTCACAACAGATATCAGCTTATCAGCAACAGATCAGAGGCATAGAATCTTCTACATCTATCGAGAAGTTCAACGAGGAGGAGATGGTCCAAAGTCTGAAATCACAGTTGGAGCATGCGCTCGTCAAGCGCCCCGAGACGTACTCTTTGGAGGACTCCAGGGAACAGTTGATGACGAGGCTGAATGACGTTACAGTATTTGCGGAACAGGAATCGAAGAGAGCAGATTGCTTGCTTCGCGAAAAGGAAGAGATCGTCAAACAGTATGAGTCCGACGTGTCGATGAAGGACCAGATGATTGCTGTTGAAGGTGGTCATCGTCAGGATGCGATCTTGGAGTTAGCCCAGGTCAAAGAAGAGAAACAGGAGGAACGGTGCACGATGGACGAGAAGTCGAAGGAGGCTGAGTACTGGAGATTGACGGCTAAGGGAATGTACGATGAGTACCTCGAGGAGATGCATGAGCTTCAGGGGCAACTGAAGGAAAGAGAGGCGACGCTCAAGCAAGAAGAGAGTTTTGTGCGCCAACTCGATGCTGACAACGAGGAACTACGTGCACACAAGAAGCTGGAGATGCAGGAAGCCTCCAGCGGCAAAGATGGACATCGTGAACGAGCAGTAGTGAAACGCGCTGAGGGAGGAACCCAGGCTAATTCAAGTAGGGTAGACAAGAAGGTGGCTGGGTTAATCCCGTCATCGTCTTCGAAACAAATCCCTAATTCGTCGCTGATGCCAGGTTCGATCCTCTTTCCGTCTTTCGGTGATCCAATGATCGATGTACACCTATCCCAGATGCAAGGGGTTGTTGGGCATGTCCCACAATCCACTACTACGACTGGTGGTGGTGATGGGGGGGGAAACAACGGTACTACGCCCCCATTGGATTACGGTGGATTCCCGCCCAATGGGAATGGGCAGGGAGCGGGTCGACGTCAGTTGAGCCTCGCTGGTGGCGGAGGAGGACCTCCGGATGATCCACCCGATGATGAGGATGAGGATGACGACGACGAAGGAGATGAGGAAGACGAGGAAGAAGAAGAGGAAGAAGACGATCGGACACGGAGGAGACGAAGGAGATCGAGAGATAACCGAGAGATCAAGAATGATCGACCGAGAATCTCGAGGAAAGAGGCCGAGAGAGTATCTATTCCGGCCTGGCCAAAGATCCATCAACTTGACACCTGGAAGATGCAACTGCTGATGAATGTTCTGAGCGCATGTGCAGATCCAGATACCGACGCATGGACGAAATGGCTGGAGCAGGCTCTTGGGTTGAACCCAGACCTGGATTTGCTTAGCGATTCAGGTGGCGACAGATTTGCTACGATAGATATTAAGATGGCCATGGGCATGCAGAACATGCTGAAACAAGCACCTGACGAAGCCAAGGACGTATACCTCGATGCTACACGACACTCTGAACTACGACATCAACAAGGGGTGATCGTGAAGGGACGAGAGTTGGTGGCATTAGTTATGCAATCATTCAGAACTTCCGATAGAACGGATCTTGTCTACCACATCGAGCATTTATTCAACCTTGACTTTCCTGGCGACAAGAAC